ATGCTCACTTACAATGTGACCCAAGTAAAGCACCTCTTTCTGGAACAAGTGGCATTTCTTGGGTTTGGAGGTTTGCTGCTTTCAAACGCTTGAATACTTCCTCTAGCCAGGACATTTCCTCATCAAACATTGTTGCAAACACAATGATATCATCCAGGTTCACTAGAGCTATCCTTCATTGTAGGCCTGCCAGTACTCTTTCCATCAGCCTCTCAAATGTTGCTGGAGCATTGCTAAGCCTGAATGGTATCACATGACTAAATGCAGTCTTAGGTTTATCTGCTTCAGCCATTTTCACTTGATAGAAACCCGACTTTAAATCTAGAGATGAAAACCACCTGGCTCCACTTAGGGCATCAACAATATCATCAATTCTTGGCAGTGGGTATGAGTCTTTTTCAGTTATACTGTTAAGAGCCCTGAAATCCACACAGCAACGTATCTGATTTCTCGACTATCTCTTCCTTAATTAGGCCATCCATGATCTTCTCCATCTCTTGTCGCTTTGCTGGGGCTATTCTCCTTGGAGGGATCTTTATTGGATGGTGATTGCCTGTATTTATTCTGTGCTTCACGAGTGCTTCCCATCGAATTCCTGTGGCTTCCTTCGTACTAGATCACCCCTATTGCTGACACTCATGTCTGTAAATTGACTTCTGACATGAATGAAGATGTCTGCATTAGGGTTTAGCTGCGAGGTTTGGAAGGGCTTCCCGTTGTCGGGGGCTGATTAGGTCCATGGCTAATATATCCTCCTTGTGTAAAAGACAGTAAATCGTCCTTTAATGTATTTAATTCACTTTGAAATTTACTAATCTTTTCCATTTATGTATGCTGGCTTTCTCTCAACTGTTGGATGCTTTCTTATTGTTTATTTTCTTTCTCCTCCAACCACTGCTGTAGTCTCTCTTGTTTATTTTGATGTTCGAGCAGCAACTGTTGCAGGTTTTCTTGCCACTGCTGTTGTTTCTCTTCTTGTTTCTTTTCTTTTTCCTCCAACACTGCTGTAATCTCTCTTCTTGTTTCTTTTCTTTTTCCTCCAACAACTGCTGTAATCTCTCTGCTTGTTTGTTTTCATTTTCTTCCAAGAACTAGTGTAATATCTCTTCTTCTTTCTTTTCTCATTGTTCTTGTTTCTTTTCTTTTTCCTCCAACAACTGCTGTAATCTCTTTTCTTGTTTATCTTCTCGTTCTTCTTGTTTCTTTTGATGTTCTTGCATTGCTGCCATCAAATCTGATAAGCTGTAGTTTGATTTCCCACTTCTGACACCAATTTGTTGCGTATCTGCTCGTTTGATAATTTCCGGTAAAAAATTCTTTCCGAGTGACTTCAGCGATACAAGTCCCTTCT